TTACCATACATATAATTTTGTAAAGCTATAATCATATGCACAATTTACAGTTTGCCTTTTTCAGTACTATCTTCTAAAAACCGGTGTACAATATCGTGAATTCTGAAGTTTCTACTTTAATGCTGAAATTATTTTGTTGGAAAAAATACAGCTTTGTCTTTGAAAGAAGCCTCAACAAAAAATTCTATCAAATGATGTTTGCCATCATTGCTAGAGTCCCACTGTTTTTCGCTGAGTGAGAGGGAGTTAAACATTCACATTTATCCACCTTACAGTCCCTTTATTTTTTCGAATCTCACAAGGTGTCCAGGTTGATGAATTATGATGTGGTGGTTATCTTACTGTGCCAAGAATGAATGCTTCAGGCGGAAAAAGCAGACCAATTGGAAAGAAGGAGGCCTTTGTTTACCCAAATGTGTTTTTAATTATAGTATTAACAAAGATAAAGCAAAACCAGGGAAGCACAAAGTAACCACATGGGAGTCTAAGAAAATAAACATCCTGTTTACTTATTCTAAACCTATTGTTTCTCCAAATACTGGCTCTTTTTCTTCTTTATTAGTGTTTCCTTAAGAAACCCCAAATTAAATGTGCCTTCACTTTAACAGCCAAATAATTGTATGGGGGGGGAAATTACCAAATAGAAAATAAATCATGTTGACATTTAAAGATTAAAATGAAGCCACAGCTTGATCAAAGAGATTCATTTCTTGATATTTGTTCATCATTATAAATATTTCAAATCTTATGTAGTCAAAAGTCATCTATTATTGTTTTCCAGGAAGTGATACTGTCTTCTCCTATGTCATTAACAATATTATTCTTGATCAAGTTTCCCTGCATTAAAATTTTAAAGTGAAATATTGCTATAGTAACTAATTTAGATCTGTGTTTTTCACCCTTATGAATTAAAGACTCACTGTATAGCATCTTGGGCAAGATGTCATAGACCTACATGGACACATATATACAAACAATATATTTCCCCACCCCTTTCACAGAACAGAGACATCACTTTGCCAACAAAGGTCCATACAGTCACAGCTGTGGTTTTTCCAGTAGTCATGTATGGATGTACATGAAGAGTTGGACCATAAAGAAGGCTGAGTGGCAAAGAATTGATGCTTTTGAACTGTGGTGCTGGAGAAGACTCTTGAGAGTTCCTTGGACTACAAGGAGATCAAACCAGACGATCCTAAAGGAAATCAATTCTGAATATTCATTGGAAGGATTGATGCTGAAGCTGAAGCTCCAATACTTTGGTCACCTGATGCAAAGAGCCAACTCACTGGAAAAGACCCTGGTGCTGGGAAAGATTGAGGGCAAAAGGAGAAGGGGGTGGCAGAGGGTGAGATGGTTAGATAGCTTCACTAACTCAGTGGACATGAATTTGAGCAAACTCTGGGAGATATTGAAGGATGGGAAGCCCAGTATGCTGCAGTCCCTGGGGTTGCAAGGAATCAGATATAACTTAATGACTGAACAACAACCCCTTTCACAGAGAATGTTTTCATAAAACCAGCAACACTAAAACAAGCATACATGAAATGAGTTCTATAAATAGTGATGCTGTTTGTTCCTCTTAAGCTTCTAGGACATTTACTTGTGAACCACTTGGTGTACTTTATCCGAGTAATAGAATAATCTATTCCTGTTACACTCGTGAACACTTGGGTGGGGGCTGTCTGTTTGGCTCCCATCCTGTTTCCTCTACTGGATCAATGTGTTCAAAAGAGATCTTTCAGTTGCAAGCCACAGAAAATGCACACAAGCTAATTTAGATGGAAAAGGGTGTTTCCTAGAAGCATACAGGTGTTTCACAGCCTTTGAGGACAAGAAATAGAGGCAGTCCCAGAGAGGGCTAGAACCAGGAGCTGTCAAGGCCAACCACTGGCTCTCTAAGACCTTACACATCTCCTCAAGTACATTTGTTTCTTTCTTCTTCTTCCATTAGCAGCCTGGCTATTGGGGCATTTGGTCTAAATGAGCTTCTTCCAAATGCCTTCTCTGCCCGCAGTCTGCATGCTAATTCCAGATTCTTAAATTTTCTCCTTTGGTGGTGGGAAGAAGATAACAATTAGCCTTCACAGAGACTCAGGAAAGGGATGAAAGGAAGAGATTGAGAAATCTTTTAGAAATAAATATTGATGATACTTGTAGCACCCAAAGTAAGAGAGTAAAGCACACCTCAGTGGTCACTATCGATACATAACTGCGTTTCTCTTTTTCTGCCCCTGTATATTCAAATTAGTGAGTCATCTTGAAATCTACAGGCTTCCCTGGCGGCTCAGGTGGTACGGAATCTCCTGCAGTGCAGGAGACCTGGGTTCGGTCCCTGGGTTGGGAAGATCCCCTGGAGAACGGAACGACTACACACTCCAGTGTTCTGGCCTGGAGAATTCCATGGACTATACAGTCCATGGGGTCGCAAAGAGTTGGACACAACTGAGCGACTTTCACTTTTTGGAAATCTACTGTAGGAAATAAATCATTTTATCTACCTCAGATGGGAAATTAGAAGGATACAAATTCTTCTTGAATAAATAAGCAAGTAAATGTATGTTGTTCCTTCCTGGCACCTCTTAGCTGAGTCTTTATTGAGGACAACAGCAAGGCCAAAGATAGGAGATCAGGGTCTATGACACTTACCCAGCCACAGCTGACCCACCAGGAGCATTAAGAAGAGACGGAGGAAGTGGGAGAAGGCAACAGATTCCCTCAGGTGCTGCCTGGGAGGTGAGGAAAGAGCCGGGAGGAGAGGAAGGGCCCAGAAAGGGCAGGCTTGCCTCTATCAGGTGGCCCCAGCTGAAACTGACCAGGGCTGCTTGGGGAGCCTTCTTCACACATGAATTTCTAGAAGCCCAGAGGGCCCAGAGAAATCAAAATGTTACTGTCTTCTCCTCTTTGTCTATGGTGATTATTCTGAGTGGGAAGATCAGGTTCTTGTAAAAGGTTTACTGCCCAGATTCCTCATGGGAAAGTAGAGAATATCAGGAAGATCAAGTTAAGGCAGAACCAGGAAGGAATTACTGTGTTTCTATGAGGCCATCCCAACTTTCAGCTCTACCGAGACTCAAAATGTGTTAAATATGTGATTAACAAATTGGACTCGGGCCTGAGGACCTTGTAATTCTACCCACATCACAGAAGCTGTAGTTAATTCTGTGTGTACAGGCTGGGGAGCCACCTTGGGGCAGAATCAAGCAGAAAAAAAGTAACTTCACTGAGCCATCCCACAAACTTCCCCTTATGCGTATGTTTCCTTTGCTCCTGGCTAGCCCTTCCCACCTTTTTCTAAAACTTCCAGAAAGGATTATAGTCATTAGCTACTTAGTATGAATAGATATTATCTCTTCAGAGGCTATTTCCATTTTAACCTCATCTCTGATTGAAGGCTTCCCAGACTGTTCGAGGAATTTTAAGAATATATTTAAGAATATGTAGCAATTCTTTGCTTTTCAAAAATTAGTCAGTCCCTGGTAAAATCACAGAAGCTGTATTCAGGGTCGAGAGTCAGGTAGAACATAGTGCTTTCCTCTTTACTGCTAGGCTGGCTTACTTCTCTGTTGCTTGGCCAACATCTGAACCCACCTTCACTCTGTTCTAGAACTCCCTATTCTCCTCCTCCCTTCTCTGAATCCACCACATGATCCAGAAAGTAGGGTCATCTTTGGTGCAGCTGGGACCTCTTGGGTCCTCCTGTTCTAACTTTGTGCTCAGCCTTCAGTCCAGTTGGTTGTGGTCAAGACCATTCTGGTTGTGAGATATTTTGAATATCAATCCTACTACTGCACCTTTAAGTGCTCTTTTTACCCACTGACCTTACAAATTCAGGTACCTCCCACCTCCTCCATGTCAACGGCCATCACAGCTAACTGAAGTCTTTGCTGAAATCTATTACTGCCAGCCATGAATGGAAAAACAAACAAAAAACCTGCTGAATAATTGTTGTTGTTCAGTCACTAAGTCATGTCCAACTCTTTGCGACCCCATGAACTGCAGCACATCAAGCTTCCCTGTCCTTCAGTATCTCTCAGAGTCTGCTCAAACTCATGTCCATTGAGTCAGTGATGCTATTCAACTATCTCATCTTCTGTCTTCCCCTTCTCCTCTTGCCCTCAATCTTTCCCAGCATCAAGGTCTTTTACAACAAGTTGGCTGTTCACATCAGGCAACCAAAGTATTGGAGCTTCAGCTTTAGCACCAGTCCTTCCAATGAATATTCAGGGTTGATTTCCCTTAGGACTGATTGACTGGTTTGATCTCCTTGCTGTCCAAGGGACACTCTTCTCCAACACCATGATTCGAAAGCATCAATTCTTCGGCACTCCACCTTTTTCATGGTCCAGCTCTCACATCCGTACATGAACTACTGGAAAAACCACAGTTTTGACTATAGTGACCTATGTCAGCAAAGTGATATCTCTGCTTTGTAATATGCTGTCTAGGTTTGTCATGTCTTTTCTTCCAAGGAGCAAGCGTATCTTAATATCATGGCTGCCATCACCATCTGCAGTGATTTTGGAGCCCAAGGAAAGAAAATCTGCTGAGTAATAAAGTCTGGAAAAAATGAAGTTGGGGAAAAAAGAGTGTGACTACTTTTGGTCCTTCAACTTTACTATACCTAAGAATTACCTGGAGAATATGTTTGACCTATAGATTTCTAGATTTTATCTTCAGCAATTCTGATTCCATAAATCAGGGATGTTTCAGAAATCTATATTTTTAACTTGCATCCTAGGTAAATTTGATGGAGATGCTATCTGAATCACACTTAAGAGATACTGTAACTCAACTGTTACTGTGAATTACACACTGTTGCCTGTGGGTAGGATGTCTGTTCTTTACCAGAAGCTTAGTTTATCAGGATTTTACATCCGTTCTCACAGCGTTAACTACAGATGATGACGATACTAGTATTCCTGATGCCTTATCATTGACTGGGGCTCCGTTCTTCCTCATCTTCTATAAATACCTTCTTTCTTGTTTTGAAATTACAGAGTCTGTCATCCCCAGTAGTGGAACATTTCACGTAAAGCTCCCTAAGAAACACAATGTGGAACTTGGAATAACCATAAGTTGTAAGTAGAAGTGACTTTTTTTTAATTTAGAATTTTAAGGAGACTAGAAAGTTGGGTGTGGCCAGTGTCTTAAGTGTCATTGCCAAGTTTCACCTACTGATACAAAAGCATGGAGCCAGTCTCTCACTCGCCAGCACTTAATAGCCGTATGAATGGGGCAAGTTACTAGGTTTCTACAGTCTTAGGTTTCTTCACCTGTTAAATGGAAATAAAGATATCTGCAAAATATCCTCATTTTGTAAATTATTCAAAGTATTAAATAAAATAACATATTTATATACCCAGTATAGCCCCTGGCAAATAAATACCCAATAATATGTGACTCACACACCCCACATGAATCATTAGATAAGTGTATGAAGGCATGGAGGCTGTCTATATTTTAGTGCATCGCAGATTGTTTTCACAATAATCTGTTGAGACTATCTTCCCATCTGTTCACTATGCATCTGTAATCCATTTGCAAGAATAAAATCATGTCTTTTTCTTCAGTAACTTCCTAAATTCCTCCATGGCACGAGATGCCTGGGTAACCAAGCCAAAAAGAAAAGCAGAACATATAAATGTGAATTCCCCCTTTTTCTCAGACTCTAGATTTATAACTACTTTGGTAAAACAACTTAGAAAATTTCAGCCCCACTGGAATTCCATAGAATGGAAATTGATGTTTCTGTGCTTTTAATATCCATAAGCTAAGTTCATCCATAAATGCTTCAAGAAAATGAAGGAAATGATTAATTCGTGAAAACCAAAGGAGACTTAGAAGCAACATCTGTGACCAAGGGGTGTTCCTACTGGAGACAGTGATGAGGCTAAATAAAGGTGCCTCACTATGCTCTGTCAGATAGCATTTACATCAGTGGCTAAGGCAAAAATAAAGAGTTCTCAAATAGTCGTATGAAATAGGATCTGTCCAAGTTTCTAATTAGCCATGAAAGTGGTACCCCTGGGAGCTGGGCAATGCATAGCCTGCTGGCTGCATGCTGAGGCCCTGCCTTCACCACGTTCTTTCCTTCCCTGCCTTCATTCAGCAAAGACTCTGAGTGCTGAGGCCCAGGCTGTTTTGAGTCTTAGAAATGCTCACTACTGGTGCATGTACAAAAGACACCTGTTCCTCGGAAGCTTCCGTTACCACATGTTTTGGTACACTGTTATTTTACTCTCAATTTTACTCTCAAATTTAACGTTTAAGAGAATGGTCTTTTTTAATGCAATAGATTCATTCTTTTTTTGAAGAGCAATTTTATTTATTTTTCCACTATGGTTTATCACAGGGTATTGAATATAGTGCCTGGTGCTATACGGTAGCACCTTGTTGTTTATCCATTCTATATACAGTAGTTTGCACCTGCTAATCCCAAACTCCCCATCCATCCCTCCCCCAGCCCCCATTCCCCTTGGCAAGCACAAGTGTGTTCTCCACATCTTTGAGTCTGTTTCATGGATAAATTCATTTATGTCATATTTTAGATTCCATATATGAGAGATATCGTGTGGTATTTGTTTTTCTCTTTCTGACTTACTGCACTTAATATCATAATGTCTGGGTCCATCCATGTAGCTGCAAATGGCATTATTTTATTCTTATTTATGGCTGAGTAGTATTCCACTGTATATAATTTACCACATCCTCTTTATCCATTCATCCTTCAGTGGACATTTAGGTTGTGTCCATGTCTTGGTTATTGTAAGTAATGCTGCTATGAACACAGGGGTGTATCTTTTCAAATTAGAGTTTTGCCCAGATACATGCCCAGGAGTAGGATTGCAGGATCATGTGGCAACTTACAATAGATTTATTCTTAAAAATTAATATACACAAAATATAATTTAACTATAAAGGAGAGTATCCCTTTAAAAGCTAATCCTGTGATAAATTCTTTTTTTAAGTCAATATTTTTCATGTTCAGTTTGTTTCAGGTGTGGCCATGTATGCACAACTACAAAATATTTTATTCACATAGAGAATCATATAAAATTATGCTTTATGATAATGTTATATATGTACTAAGTATTACTTCTTCTAAAACTGATTTTAATACCAATCATGAAAACAACCCCCAAACCCACACAGGAACTTCCTGAATTTTAGCAGCTGTGAGCTAAAGCTATTCACGGTTAGCAGTGGTGAGCTAAAGCTATTCATGGAAGCTAAAAGTCCTGTGCTATTCCTGGATGGAGAAATGATACGGAAGTTTGTCACACATGCCTGTCAGCCCTTCCAGAGCTCCAGCTCCATTTACACAACTAATCATCACCATCCTGAGTTTGTGCTTCCCTGTAGAAAATACTCAGATTTTGCCAGTTGAGAAAGCAGAATTTGCTAAAAGGAAAAACAGAATCCATTTCTTCATTATGAAATAGCAAATTCCTGAGGTCTAGCACAGTTCCTGGCACATCAAAGGTGCGTGTTTCACTCCTGTCTTTGATGAGGGGGTGAATGAGGAGTCTGTCTGTACACAGTGTGGTTCTAACCCATGTGCACTCCAGGATCTGAGCCTCTGAGCGAGATGAGGAATATGGATGTATATGCAAAAGCTACTGCATGAACTGAAGAAGCGAGAATGTAGACAATGATGACTAGCAAGGACTCAGAGCCCCAGGTGCCCCTCTCTCCAACCCTCTTGACCTCCCTGAACTGAGTTTCTTTGTCTGTAACGTGGTGTACTCCTTACATTCTTTGTAGCTTTATTGTGAAGGTTAAATAAGTTGCTATATGTAAGGTGCCCAGAATACATTGTGAACCATAATGAATGTTCTTATTATAATAATCGTTATTTCTTTTCCTCATAGAACCTCATGGCATATTTTAAACAAATCACTACCTCACAAAATTTAGTGCCGATCATACTTATCCTACCTGAGGATAGGATAATCAAAGGACCCTCCTTTCATACAGATACATAGGCACGGTAGGAAAACTAAGGCACTCCAGGGGTTCATGGGTGTTTCTCACTATTTTTATACAAAGTGTTCTTTCTGTAGCTGCATCTTGTAAAAACTCTTGAGTAGTGGGAAGCGGGCCTCCTTCTTGGGAGACATGCGTTCAGACCCTTCACACTTGGCTTAAGGCTCACTCTTCATACCTAATTGACTGAGAAATGAGTCCCTCTGAGTTTGGATATGGTGAGCAGTTTTAGACTAATTTTCTTAAGTTCCTGATGAGACATTCATAGCACATTACCATCAGGCGTTACTTTTATTGATGTTATTGCTATAATATGAAGTCATTTATAATGGCAAATAAAGCAGAACAGCCTAGCAGAAGGGTGCAGTTTGGAACTCAAAGCAGCATCCTGAAGCTCTGACACCTCAGCCAATCAGAAACCAGAGCCCATACCTTTCAACACAGCTCACCTGCCCTTCAAGTCAGAGATCTGTGGTTGTCTCTGCCATGTCTAGTTGTCAGTAAAGATCTTTTGGTATGGATGTTTTCTTTTGAGGTTTTATTACATAGGAGTTTTATCTGCTTTGTACCATGCATGGCACTAGTTTATGTGTGTTTTCTCATTTCATCCTGAAAGTGGCCTTATAATATCTGTGCCCATTTTACAAAGAGGAAAGTAAGAGTCAGCTGGATAACCTGCCCAAAGACCCAGAGCTAATAAAAGGCCAAACAGGGATTTAAACCCTTTCTGTTTGCCTTCACTTTGGCTGTGCTGTCAGACTACCACTCATCCCTGTCGCCCTCTGATCTTCCTGGATCCTAAATCACAAAAGCAAAAGACAGCATTTGGGGAGTTCAGTTAATTTGTCAACTTTCCTTTTTAGTTGACTGGACTGTTTGTAGGAGCAAAGGCTTTCTTTATTTTTTGTAAAATCATAATGCAGCCTTTTTAACAAGCACAATAAATCTGTCATTTTTGCCTTAAATCTCAAATGTATTTAGAAGAGAAAGCTTCATGTTTTTCTGGCCAATTTTGCTAAAAACTCTCCTCACTGCTTCATCTCAAATCAAATAACTAGTTTTACTTGTTAGGTAGTATGTATTTTAATGTATATATATATATATATGATTATAATGAAAGTAAAACTGAATGATTGTGTGAGTATGTGTGTGTGTGTGATTACTTCTCCAATGTAGTTTGGACAGTTTATCAGACCCTTTGAGCAAAGTCCTTTGACTAGCAGAGTAAGTTCCATGAATGACTAGACATTATAGAATGCTCTTGGAATGATTCACATTTAATTAGCTTCAGACTTCAAGAGATTTCACCTGTCTTCAGATACAGAAAAAGTATTTTAAACAAAAGATAGAAGCTATCGTTTTCTACCTCTTCCAACAACTGTTTGAGAAGAAAAGAAGCCACATTCACTGTAAGAGCCAGTTTCTGACAGTGACAGACAACCAGTGATTTTAGAACTTGAGGAGTCGAAAGATGAGAGCTTGCCCACATGCATTTAGCTGTGTTCCTACCCCATATCTCCATTTTAAAATGGCACTGTAAGCTTTTTCAAGAGGCAGAAACCCATAAGGAGAAGAGGAAAGGAAAAATAGATAACAACAACCAAATTTGGAAGTGGCCAAGAAAATGGAAAAAGATTAAAGAAGCAGAAAGAAAAGCTGACAATGAACTTGATTTGTGTTCTGAACTCCCCACAAGGCTGAGTGGTGGAATGAGGAACTTCTGGAAGTGAGAGTGATGGGACAGCTAAGAAGACAAGGGGACTGACTGAACCTCTGTTAAGAATCAGTGAGTCCCAGGACTTCCCTGGTGGTCCAGTGGTTAAGACGTCTCCTTCCAGGGCAAGCAGTGCAGGTCGAGTCCCTGGTCACGGAGCTAAGATTCCACATGCCTTGCAGGCAAAAAACCAAAACATAAAACAGAAACAGTATGGAAACAAATTCAATAAAGACTTTTAAAATGGTCCACATCAAAAAAAAAAAATCTTAAAAAATGAAAAGAATGAGTGCGTCCCTTATATTCCTTCCCCCACTCAGAACCACCAACCATCCCTCCCATTCCTGGCAAGCCCAGTTTTATCCTCTTGAAAATGTG